TTCTTGGACAAATAAACCAGCAGCAGAGAACTGGATGTGCCACGGATGACAAGACTCTTCATGTGGAATATGACTATTCCCACAGGTGTCCAACCACAAGGCTGGCGGAGTCCAAGTGCCAGGAGGTCCTTATTTTCCTTAGGCGCGGGGGGGGGGGGCGGGGGGGTGGGGAGAGGAGGGGAGACTGATGAGCTGGAAGACCAGGGAGAACCTATAAGACCCGGGGTAAAGGCTGACCTCCACATGGGCCAGAGCTTCGCGTAGGCAGAGGAACTGCAAGAGAGAAGGCTGGCCTAGTTAGGTGACCCCATGTTATCAGCCTCGGCAGACTTGCCCCGGAAGTGACCCGTACACCATTGACCTGCACACCAGGAGACCCAGAACCTCTGTCTCTCTGGCCTGGGCAGGGAACTCCTTACAGAGGTCATCTCAGAAAAGGCTGATGAACTAGACACAGGATGGCCAGCCTGGAGGTCAAGCCCCAGCCCTCTCCAGAGCTAAGTCTTGCCCTTACAAAGGGCAGCGCAAATCCAAATCTTAAACCAAAGTGTTTTTCTACGTGCTCTGGGGCTGGAGACATGAGAAGAGGTTGGACACACGTGGTAAGGTTCAGTCAAAACGGCAGGACAGGAGAGAGGAGATGTGACGTCATGTGTGCTTCCTGCATGATCGAGCTTTTTCCCACGAGTGTGTGTCCTCTGAGTGGGCGGGAGTCAGGCTCACGGACACTTGCCACAGGAAATAGTGGACACTCAAGGCACGGTTGCAGAGTTAATCCCTGAATTGTCCAATGGAAATACAATGCGAGCCACACATGAAATTCTACATTTTCAGTAGCCACTTTATAAAAAGAAACAGGTAAAATTAATTGTCATATTTCCTTTAACCCACTAAATCTGAAATCGTATCATAGTTTAGCATACAATTTTTAAAGTATTAATGGGGTATTTTACTTTCCTTTATTCATGTTGTTTTCACTGTCTGGTTGTACTTTGCAGTACTATACATGCATGGCCACATTTCAAGTACTCAGTAGTCTCGTGTGGCAGCTGTATTGGCCAGTGCTGATCTAAGCTTCTTGTGTTTTTAGATCAAAGGTACCAGCAATTTCTTCAGCCAGCCAGACAGCTCAGAACACCAGGAGACTGCTGGGGGACAGCACCAGGAAAGCCAGGTGGGGAGAACTCTGTCCTTCCAAATGCATCCCCACAGCCATTTCTTGAGCTCCTACTTACTACCTGTTTTGACTTGGGGTTCACAGAATATAAAGGCAGCCCCTGCCCTTCTCTGAACTGTAAACCCACGTGGCCTGCCCAGCTTCAGACTTCCTTGCACGGTACTCACTACAGTGTTGAGAGGGGGGTGCTGATAAATGGCCTTTTCTATGGTCTGTAATTATTGGCCCACCTCATTTTCCCTTTTTAAAAACCGAAGTCTACATTTTAAAAAATATTTTAAGCCCTGCCCAGTGTGGCTCAGTTGGTTGGGCATCGGGTTTGATTCCATGGGCATGTGCCTGGGTAGCAGGTTCAGTCACCTGCGGTGTGTACGGAAGGCAACCAATGTAGGTTTCTCTCTCACACTGGTTTTTCTCACCATCTCTTTCTCCCTCACTTCCCCCTCTCTAAAATAAAAAATAAAATATTTTAAATATATACATACATACATATTTTAATATATTAAGCATTTTGTGTGTGTGTTACACCTGAGCCTTCTGCCTTCACATGCACCATTATCTCATTTAATCCTTTAGTAACTGATTCAGGTTACTAGTTTTCAAACTAGGCAAAGTGAGGCTTGGAGAAGTGCTATGACTTTATGCTGAAAGAACTGGTAGAAAGAAAAAGTTTCTAATACAGTCCCATATATCTTCCCTCAGTAAGATCCCTTATGGGATCTGTGGACAATGTCAGGGAGTGGAACTGTGACTTCAGACCCTAGAAGCCTGCAGTTCGAGCAAATGAAGCATCCTGATGCCATCTAAAACCCAGAACAAGCACAGGGGTACAAGATCTGGGTCAGCTCCAGCTCCTGACATATTAGCTGTGTGATGCTGGGCAAAGATTCACAGTAGTAATAAATATAATTAGTATTTGTCGATCTTCTCCAGTGTACCAGGCTCTGGCCCAGACAATTGCTCCTCTACCTCCTGGTCCTCATAACAAGAAAGATAATTTATTTTATAGCTTAGGAATCTGGGCCTCAGATAAAGTAAGTTACCAAAAGTCATCCAGCTGATAAGCAGGAGAGCCAGGATTAGAAAACATTATTAAACATACTAGTGTTTGTTTTATAATGTAACTTCAACCCTAACCCACTGCATAAAAAAAATCTTAGTTTCAACACCACCAATGTACATCATAAACAACTGTATATTCATGTTACAAATCTAAAAAGCTGTAAAGCCTGGGCATATAGGAATTGTTTTTAATGTGCTTTTTTAAAATATAAAAACAAGGCATTATTGATTTGCCATGTGTGGTAACTTGCCAAAACAATTAAAACAACTGGGCTTTTAAAGGAGATAGTAATACTTGCACTGTTCTGCACAGGAGGATATTGTAATCACTGTGAAGGAAAAGCAAAAGTGTTTTGAAAGTGCAAAGAAATGAAAATGTCAAATATTACAGACACATTAAAGCAAGCTGCTCTTCTATACCAATATGCAATGTATATGAAGATACACATCCCCATCTTCATTAAGAGTCTGCAACTTGAAAAAAGTAAAGTATAAGTTGAAAGAAATGGAGGGAAAAAGAAAATAATAGAAAGATAAAAGAAAAATAGACAAATTAACTGGCTTTCTTGAAAAAGAACAAAGGGAAGGAAGGAGAAGCAAGAAGGAAGGAAGGAAAGAAGAGAGGGAGAGAGGGAGGGAGGAAAGGGGAAAGAGAGAAGAGAAAAAAAGAATGAAGGGAAAAGGAAAGGAAAGGGCTATGGAAAATATAAGCACAATTGTTGGGATCAGACAGTTCTTTAAATAAGAAACTGGCCATGACCTGCTTAGCGTTGAGGCTGGGTGCAGTTTTTGCGACTGTTTAGAGAAAATCTAGCGCTCTCTCCACCATTAATCTTTCTGAGGAAAGACTTTGTTCTGCACCTGTATAAACAATCCAGATTTTTAAAACCTATATGCCTGCTCCTAATGTGTGAGACTATGTATTTATACTGATAGCCTCAAGTCATCAATAGACGATGCAAAACGCTGGCCTGAGATCCCCCTTTACATCTTTTTGCTTCCCCTTCTCTTTCTGCTTCCCTCCTTCCCGCACCTAGAGTCAAGTTCAAGTTCAAGAGCTCCCGGAAGGATCGCTAAGCTTTGTCAAATACACCCTGCATTTTCCCAGCCCAGAAAAAACTGGAGACAGCGTCCTTTTTTACTCAACTGATGCCAGAAGGAGACCCTCCCCCCACCCCCTCACAAAATGACTAATATACCGGGAGAAAACCTCTGTAAAGCCAGGGCGGGGAAGCGGGACGGGTTGTGTGAAACATCCCCCAAGAGGAAGGCATGGCCTGGGAGACGAAGGTAGAACCATGCCTGAGTGATGAAGTCAGCCCGGGCCAGCCACCTGTTGTGGCCCTTCAGGCGCGGAGCCCGGCGCATTTGTTCTGCTGGAGGAGCCGGCGGAGTGAGGCTTGCCCGGGGGCTTTCTGCCCCCTCTGCCCTGGGCTGACTGCACACCCGTCTGTCTCCTTGCACTTCGCTCAGCTTGGGAGCCTGAGGATTTTAGGGGAAAGACGAGTAACCTCCCAAGTCCTCTGTGAAGGCTCACGGAGTACCGCAGCTTGATAGAGTCTTAATTATTTTGTTGTCGTTTCAGGGGTCTTTTAAAAAGTTTCTTGGTGGGCCCTCACATGGCGCCTAGCCGGGTGACTGGTACACAGCAGACGCTCCGTAGCTCTACATTGGTACCCACCTCCCAAATGAGGTCCACACCCCGAGACCACGTACTGCAAAGGCCCATCCAGTTAGAACATCATGAGACCGCACGCAGTTTTGTTTCGTTTCCTTTGGGAGGAGCGGCAGGGTGTTTAATTTTTGGCTGGGGACAGGATTAAAATTTTTTTTAATGGGACAGGATGGTTCTGGGTGCTGTTTTGTCCTTTTTTACTTTGGATGATTATGCGGGCTTAGCATTCTGCGTCCAGAAGCTCACTCTTCAATACACAATCTAACATAGTAATCGATTCCCTAGATTATTACTCAAATTTGTCTCTTGCATCGTGTTAGTAACAACAAAAATCACACATGCAGCTCTCAGAGATGCGGCATCCTGTGGTGTGTGGCAAGGAGGCAACTGGAATGCGGAGAGGCCAGGGACCTAACCACGGAGTTTGAGGCCATTTCTACTTACAAGCCTGATGATTTGGGGTTCCTTACTTAATATCTGTATCTGCGGTTTAGCTTCACGCTTTGCAAAGTGGAGATAATAACATTTAAGTCACAGATGTTTTAAAATGAAACGAACCAGTAGATAAAAGTGCTTTGTAGATCATAAAGAGAGGTCAAAGAAAAAGGAGGAAAACGAGAGGTAACTTGTGGATTGTTCGGTGTTGTTTGTTTTGGTTTTACTCGCGTCCGGCAAAGCTTGGATAGGCAATGATACAATATGAGTGACAAGCTTGGAAAATAAAGTTCTGCTGAAAAAGACTGGGAACGAAGCAGAGGTCGCTTATCCTGTGGTTTCTAAGTGTGTAGCAATCTTCGCCATCGCGAGCTAAGATCAGTTAGGGTGAGCGTGGAAGTGGGGTCAAGGTCCCCTTCTTCACTCCCCCGCCACGGACTATCTAGGGTCCCTGGGCACAGCGCCCAAATCTCCGCTCAGCAGAGACTTCCCCTTCCCCGCCCCCACCAGCATATCCTCGGTGCGCAGAAAAGCGGTCCCCACCCCTTCCACGCCCCCGCCCCACCTCTTCTCCCCACCCCACCCCCCCTTTCCAACGCCCTCTCTCTCCCTCTCCCTCTCTCTCTCTCTCTCTTTTTGCCCGGGGTGGTTTGTTCCGAGCAGTACAGATAAATAGTCCTGTCAAAAGGCGCAGCTCGCGGTCGTGCAGAAGGAGCCTGGGCCCAGCGCTCAGTTTTGGGCCCACGCTCTCTGGAGTTAGCGGCAGGGCTCACTCCCGCGGCTCCGAGCTGCGGGACCCTGGTCTCCAGTCCTCCTCAGACCTTGGTTCGGCCCCCCGCCTCCGCTAAAGAGCCGAAGGCGGAGGCCGGGAGACTGGCCTGGGGAAGGAAGGAACTCGGGAGTGGGCGTGAGGGACGCAGGGATGTCCACGGGTTCGGTGAGCGACCCGGAGGACATGGAGTTGCGGGAGCTGCAACTGGGGTACCAGGTCCCCGCCTCTAAGAGGCCGCCCCTCCGCGGCGCAGAGCGCAGCTACATATCACCCAGTGACAACTCCTCGGCGGAGGAGGAAGACCCCGACGGCGAGGAGGAGCAGTGCGCTCTGGACGCGGCGGGCGGTGCGGGAGGCTGTAAGAGAAAACGGCCTCGAGTAGGTGGGGGCGGCAGCGGCAAGAAGCCCCTCCCGCCCAAGGGCTCTGCGGCCGAGTGCAAACAGTCGCAGAGGAACGCAGCCAACGCCCGAGAGCGCGCCCGAATGCGCGTGCTGAGTAAAGCCTTCTCAAGGCTCAAGACCAGCCTGCCCTGGGTGCCTCCCGACACCAAGCTTTCTAAACTGGACACGCTCCGACTGGCTTCCAGCTACATCGCCCACCTGCGGCAGCTACTGCAAGAGGACCGCTACGAGAACGGCTACGTTCACCCGGTGAACCTGGTAGGGGTGCCGCGTTCCAGGCCCGGGGCGCGGGCCAGGAGATGCCCGGGACGCTCCTGGGAGCGGGGCAGAGTCAGCCCGCTGGGAGAGCACGAAAGAGGGGTTCTGGTGCGGGTGGTGAGGACTCCAGTTTGGTTTCCCCCAAATCACAGGAGGGGCCAGCCATTCTTCTGGAGAAGAACTACCCACCCTCTACTTGCATCATTCTGATCATTATGTCCAGTGACACCTATTGGTTAATTTTCTACTTACGGGGTGAATCTGGGTTCCATTGTAGAATAAAGGGCAAATCTCCCTGGTGCAACTTTTTCCAGCTAAGAGTCGGAAAGATTTGGTTGAACAAGCCCTACTTTCTGATAGGGAGGAAAGATGAGCTCTATTTAAAAAGCTTTGGATTTTTAAATTCTTGCAGAATAGCAGAGGTTTCCCCAAAAGGAATCAGTCTGGAAAGTCCCTCGCTGACCTGCCAATTCTTCCGGCTTGAGAGCAGAAGGCTGATGGTGTGTGTGTGTGTGTGTGTGTGTGTGTGTGTGTGTGTGTGTGTGTGTGTGTTGGGGGAAGGGAATCACAGGACAAAATCTCCAACTACAGGTTTCACGGAATGATGGTAAGGGCACAGTACAGGAGGAAGCATGCATGCTCCCCCCCACCCTCATTCACTTGATCAAAATCCAGTAAAACCGAGTTTAGAGAGAAGAAAGGCAAGTGTCCAGAACACTGATAAAGTCGCCCTTCAAAATCGGGACTATCTCAGGGTCCACTTAGTTGAGCGGTTTCGGTTTGAGATGGTCGTTCCTCCTCTTACATCAATCGCTCTTCTTGATTTTACAGACGTGGCCGTTCGTTGTCTCGGGACGACCCGACTCTGACACCAAAGAAGTTGCCGCTGCCAGCAGACTCTGTGGGACCACGGCTTAGATCGAACTTGAACTGAACTCACTTATTCGGATTACTGGTTAAACCCGTGTTTAGGGGTCACAGAGAGAAGGGAGACTGCGTGCGCACCCCCGGAGAATGCGAAGAAAGTTCCATTGGGTTCTCCTAGACAGCCCGCCACCCCGAAATCCAACAGGACACTTGGCGGGCGTAGGGAGCAGAGCCGGACGGTCGGCGGGCGTGGCTGTCGCAGCTGGGCACCCGTGGACCCCGGCTGCCGCGGATCAGGGCGAGGACACTCCGCTTCTCCAGAACCAGCCTGCGGTCTAGTGAGCGCGGACCGATAACCCCCACGCTGCCTTCGGAGCCCGGCGCCAAATCACCTTGGGCGAGCTACCCAGGTGAACCAGAGATCAGGGCAGGACAGGAGAAGGCCTGGCTCTGCATAGCGCGCGCCTTTACGGTTGCACCGTTAGGACGCTGTCTCCGTGACAATCGGCTGCAAAGACACAAGTCTTCACGTGAAAACCCATAACGGACAGGCTTTTAAGCTGCGAAGAGAGGAGACTGATACCTGGATGGGGCTGGTATCCCACAAGGCAGCGCGGTGACCCTGTCTCCAGGCGGACAGAGGTGAGGGCTCCCTGGCAGCACTGGAAGCGGTGGTGGCGCGCAGTCCGAAACCACCTGAGCCGGGTTTGCTGTAAGCGCTCACCGCCGTCCGGCCTCTCTGTTGCGGGCAGACCCCTCACGGCTGCAGACTCCCACCTCTTCCTGACCAGGCTTCCGTCTCCCCCAGCCCCTCCTAGGTGTGATCCACCCTCCGTCCCACCTTCCCAAGCTAGGGTCTCCTTCCTCTCCTCCCTCCTCCCACACCTCCTTGCAGAGTTCCTTCCAACTCCTGACTGTCCCCACCTGCCCTCAACTACCACCACCTACACCCCCAGCACTGGTCGCTCTTCCTGCACACGGTCTCCCTCGCCCGCGTTCTTCCTTGCTCTGGACCGCTGAGCCTAGTTCGGTACATGGTGACCCTGCTGAGGAGGAACAAACCGCTGCTGGAGGTTGCGCTACCACAGTTAATTAGCAAATGTAAATAAACTTATTTTTTTATGAATAATAAAACCCATTGTGAAAAGCGAGTGCACTGGGCGCGTCAGAATGTGGTCTTTGTTGCCCTTTACTGTCTGTCATGAAAGTCAACTCAAAGGTGCTCTCCTGGCTCTGGACAGAGACTGGGTCATTGTCTGCAGAGTGGAGGTGATCACTTTTGGTTCCCTACCTTTCCAAATGTAACTCACTAATTTCTGATTGTTTCTTCTGGAGGCCAGGGTTACTGGAAGGCAAGGATTAGAGGCTTATGAGGTCCTAATAGCTTTTGGGGGCTATGCTGAAAGGTATATGCTTTTCAAAATAATATAGGTGCCTATCTCTCATACACAAACACATGCACACAACACTTTCTCCAGCCTGAAACACACTCTAGTGTTTACAATTGCAAGCAGTTCAAGAACCCCCTACAGTTCACACACCAGTGTGTGTGTGTGTGTGTGTGTGTGTGTGTAGGGGTATCTTAGTTTAATGGCAAAGTAAAACTATAATACAAAACACCAATTCATATTTTACTAGAACTTTCTTTTTTCCAAATATTGTTTATATAGGGTCTTTAATGTACACCACCTCATTTTCCTTGTTACTTTCTTCCACTTTCACTGCAATTTTGCAGGATGTAATACCTCAGAAAACCCACTATACACTTTTTTAAATGCTGACTTTTTAAAAGTAACATTCTCTTTGCAGAACATTTAGAAAAGTATGAAGGATAAAACTACCTAAATAACTGCCCCTTTTGAGGGGTATCCTTTATCTCATCAAGTCGGAAGTCAGTTTTCTTGACTAAGGGGAGCAAATACAGCAGCCATTTAAAGGCAGGAGAGAGGTGGGGGCATGAATGACTTCCTGTTTTGGACTAAACCAACCCAAAACTCTGGAAAACTGCTTTCTGACACCATTTTCTTGGGCTTTTGTTTATACCCAGAGGATTCCAGTCTCCTAATCCAGTTCTCACCCCCTACAGCTGGGCTCAGGGCTTACGTTAGTTGGTGTCTGTGACATCAGGCACTGTCTGGTAAAAAACAGAAACAAAAACAAAAACTCAGGAGCACATAGTGACAGCAAATACTGGTTTAGTCAAAGGTACTTTAGTTGGCCCTAATTCTGGGCGGCCAGCTTCTTGCTGGTGGGGTGTATACTGGGGTTGAGCTGGGAGTCAAGGTCTTTTCCAAAGCTTCCAGCAAAAGAGGTCCTTTCCCAGGAGGAGGCAGCTCAGTAGTGCTTTGAGGTGAGCCTGAATGTCTATAGAACCCCACCTGCGATCCAGGCTCTGCTACCCCACAGACTAGTGAGCATATGTAACCTCCCTAAGGCTCAGTTTTCTCATCTCAAAATGGGGTAATAACAATGCTTACCTGAGAAGATTGTTGTCAGGAAACAATGTGATAACAATATTTAAGCCACCCTTCTAATAGGCAGAGAGCAGCATGCTCAATGCTGACCACGGAAGGGGAAGGGCAGAGTGCATGCTTTAGCCCAGGGGAACATTTTAAGCCAGTGGGGACAGGTCAGGAATCCCATCCAAGAATGAGTCCAGTTTGGAGATGCCTGGATTACAACTGTACAATAAAAGTATCCCATGAGAGCAGAAACAGAAAAAGAAAAAGACAGGCTATATGTGTAGTGAATACAGGTAAGAACGAGCATTTGAAAACACAAGGAAATAGTAAGGCAAATTCTCATAAATAAAAAAAGTATTTAGAATATGCATTTCCATAACTGTATTGTCTCAGCGCACTTCAGGAGTGAACTCGGATTCTCTGCCCCTGCTCCGCCACAGCCCTCCCGGCACATGCACATTCAGGTGGATGAGCACTACCTGACTCACAGGTACTGTGTTATACCCTGCAGGCGCATTGTTATGGCCACTTGATAGTCTTATAATTTATAGAGAAAAAAAACTTTCTCAAGAATTGTTTGCTTCATGGTTTCTGTAAAAAGTCCAATGCCAAGAACTACCTTATTAAAAAAAAGAAGAAGAAAGAGGCCAATTTCTAGTAAGTCGAGTTGAATAGTATTGCTCAAACTTCTCGACAGAGGTTGCTTCTAGAAGAGGCCTTAAGCACCTTGTACCAGTCATTTTTCTTTCCTTTTTTAAATTTTAAATTACATGTTACATTCAATATTATTTTGTAGTAGTTTCAGGTATACAGCATTGTGGTTAGACAAACGTACACTTTACAAAGTGTTCCCCCCGATACTTCCAGGACCCACCTGGCACCACACAAGTTGTTGCAATATTACTGACTACATTCCCTCTGCCTTACTTTCCACCATGCAACGATCTTGTAACCACCAATTTGTACTTCTTAATTCCTTCACCCTTCCCACCCCATCCCTTTGAACCAGTCTTTTCTTGATCTACCATGACTGCCCTGTGCTCTGAGTCGTAAAGTGGTATATCCCCAAACCTTTCTTACTTTTTTTCCCTTCACCATTTTTCTTTAGGAATTTGGGCTGAAGAAGTAGGAGCTGGGACTGAGGAACAGAGGGGTTAAGAGAAACAAGAGAAGTAAGCCTGTTCTTATGTGTATCTCAATTTTATTATACCGCTAAGAGAGAAAAGTGGAGCAGGAAAAGTCTAAGAAACATAATGTAAAAAGTACTAAATAACAAATAGAATGAGTAAATTGAAAAAATACTCCTCAGGGGGCTTTTTGAGGGACCAAAGCCTTATTATTAGTGATACTGACTCAATCAAAGAGAACAAAAATCCCCTTTCGCAGACTCTTCCTAAGATGAATATATTAAAAGAAATGCGTTTGGCACTGTAATTTTGAAACATTGAGGCTTTTCTCTTGGTGGTGGATGTAGAGTTGATTTCGTGCACATTCTTTCTCTCTGAGCTTCAAAGCACAACTTCACTTCCGACAGCCCCTCTGAGAGACGGACGGTGAGACGATGACAATTACAATTCACAAAGTGGAGTTTTTCACAGACACAGTGTCTGTCCATCCCCACCCCCACAATAAATGCTTCACATACATTTTTTAAAAATAAGGAAGACATTTCCTCTGTGTAAAAAAGAACTAAGTGGAACACATCCTATTTTAATAGGTAAAGGTAAATAGTTTGGCTAATACTTTTGAAAAAAATTAAAACGATAACCGAGAAAGTCATTTTAGTACTGGTTGGAGGGCAGCAAATGGGGAACTCAGGACTGACTTCTCAGTGCTGACTTCTAGGAAACGACACAGGAGGTATGGAGTAGCTCCCTTTGGAAGTAAGCATGTGGCTACCCCTGGGCACCCCTGCTTACCCACTAAGGGGAGGCCAGCCTGCTAATCTCCGAACTTGCCACTTACCCTTCATCTCATCTTCTTTCTGTTCTGCCCTTTGTATTATTTTCTTCTCCCTTCCACAACAGTGAAAATTGGTCCACAGAAATCCTTTGAATCTATGACTCCAAGGAAGTGTAGAAAGTGGCCAGTACCCTAAATTTATGCATAGCACGCAGGCACAATTAGCCCTGAGGTAATAGTTACCTAGGAACATCTCATCCATTGTCTGTTCTACCATCACCGTGTGGTAAAGTGAGTCCCAGAGCAATTAAGAGCAGGGGCTTTGGGTTTGGTAACAATCTGGTATCTGTTCTGAGTATTAATTACTATCGGCAGTAGAAATGGGGAGGGGTGGAGAGAAAGGCACCAGAGGCTTTTATTTTTTACTTTTCTTTCTTTCTTAAAAGAGTTTTTATGTTGTTTTTGAAATTTTAAAAAACTTATATTTTTCAAAAAGATCATGATCTTCTGTGTTGGATGTAGCTGGTGGTGGTCCAGCCCACCGTTTCCTAATCTGCATCTTCAAGGACCGGTTCTCCTCCGTGAGACAAGACCATCCATCCATCCTTCCTCACAGACTGTTTTCAAAGCAGATTAAATGAGGTCATTCTATTACACACTTTGGAAAAGCTCTACTGATGCTAATTTTTATAAATTATAGTCTTAATTTTCTTTCCTTTCCTTTCACAGTAGTTCAGATGTCCTTAATCCTTATCTGTATATTTGTCCCATCACTCCCCTGTACCACTTATAAAAGTGGTACCTTGCTCTTTTATGCCAGGTCTAATTTTCACATATTGTTGTTTTCAAACCAAGGGGAAGCGTTCATTTAGTTTCCTTCTAAAATATGAAGATCATAACACTCAACACCAAAAATTATCCATGGGATAAAAAAAAACAAGCTCATTTAGGAGTGCAAGACAGACTAGTGGATTTTGATGCAACAGAGTACACGAAGTTCACTGATATGATTTCAGATTCCACAATGCTGTCAAGCTTTCAGAAACTGTACTTATATAGATTTGATGTGGTATGGAAGAATATCCACAATTGGCCATTAAAATACTTCTTCCCTGTACCACTGTATACCTGTGTGAGGCTGAATTTTCTTCATATACTTTCATAAATAACATGTCACAACAGAGTTGTGTATAAAAGCAGAAATGAGAATCCTGCTAATTTCTATTAAGTCAAATATTAAAGAGATTTACATAAATATACCACTATGCCACTCTTCCCATTAAAATGTTTTGGAATACATAGCTATTTTTATTAAAAATTTATTATTTACATTCACATGTAGTTAGTTTATTCGTATTTCAAAATAAATTGGTAAATGTTTTCTTTCAGTTTTGATTTTAAATCCAGTAAATATCAACAGATTAAGCCACATAAGCACAGTTTTTCAGGGGTCTTTAATCACTTTTAAAAGTGTGAAGAAAGCAGAGACAGGAAAATGTTTGAGAACCTCTGGCCTAGGTCATTTCTACGGCCTTTTTCATTGATAAGATTCCACATGTCCTTAATTTTCTGTCAGTCTAGGCTGATCATGTCTAGGTTGGATATAGGAGAAACATTTGCCCAGAAAGATTCACTAGAGAGGTTGGGAAGATGACTTCGGTGGGGCCGGCTTTCTTTATGAGATGCCCCTGTTGTCCGGCCAGACAAGCAGCGGGGCCAGTGCCTGAGCTGGTTTCACATAGGATGTTCTCAGAAGAATTTCTGTACCACTTTCTATTCTACCCCCATACTC